AAAGAAATATCAAGACAAATAAGATGTTTGGGGGCGCACCACAGGATGGGAGCTTTGCAACTGGCAGTCTTTTGCAGAAGGCAGACCCCCATTTGCAAAAGACAAAAGCCACTCTCCTGCATTGAGATTAATAACCAAATGGAGGATGCAAGATAGTAGTCACTTGAAAAGAGGCCTCTGGCTGGCAAGCCCTTCCCTTCAAAGAACTGGGGTTGTAGCTGTGTATGGTGGCACATATCCATCACAAGTTGAAGCAGGAGGATGGAAAGTTCGATACTCATACATTATAGGTGGGAGTGAAAATTCATATAGCCACTCTGGAGGCACTTCCTCAGGAAAATGGAAATCCATCTACCTCAAGATACAGCTGTACCACTCTTTAGCATATCCTAAAGGATGCTTTATTCTACTACAAAGACACTTACTCAACAATGTTCACTGTTGTTCTATTCACAGTAGCCAGAAAGATGTTCCTCAACAGAAGAACAGACTAAAAATGTGATACATTTATCAAATGGAGTATTAGTCAGCCATTTAAAAAAACATGAAATTTGCAGGCAAATAGATGGAACTAGAAAAAACCATCCTGAGCTGTAATATGTAGAACTACATAGAGTAAGGAAATAGAGGGAACAGATAGATCTCCTTGGGGAAGGGAATAGAATAGATAATTTTGAATGGACCAAGGTGGGGTCTGGAGTGTGAAGATCAAGAGGGGAGGGGACAGAGGAGGTTGTGAGAGAGAACACAAGGAGAGACAGCTAAATTTGAGGGATAGCATTGTAACTTAATACAGTAGAAACTTCTTAAAATATATACATATATGAAGGTGATCTAAATTAAATCACCAAATAATAGGAGATACAGAGTCCCAACTGGCCATTCATTATTACCAAAGAAGCTAATTGAGTTGCTGACCAGAAGGCCCCCTTTGGAATCCTTAAACAGCTGAGCCTGTTTCCAAGACTATATATAGCTAGTCCTCCCCAAATTGACTTCAAGGCACCTACACAACTCATGGAACATGGAAATGTTCATCTGGTGCCTACATAGAGCCTCCACTCCTGTGTTCTAGTGTATTTGGTACAGGAAGTTATTCTGAATGCTACTAAGTTGTTACAAAATGAGAAACATAAACACAGTCAGCCACAGATGCTTTGATCTAATATGGTGCACTGCCTGCAAGATAAGCTAGGGCAGTGGTGGCAAAAAGCTTGTGTGAGTGATCAATAACTGATTTGACATAAGGCACCCATTCCACAAGATGGAGCCCATACCCAATACTGCTTAGGCAAATAGGAACCTGAGACTAGATAGCCCAAGGGCCTAGGGTAAATTAAATAATTGTGGTCTTAAAACAATGCCGAAAACAGTGATCAAATGACTCCTAATAGTATTCTATACTCATAGATCAAAACCTTGTTCAGCCATCATCAGAGAAGCTTCCTACTGCAGTAGATGGGAATATTGATACCCATATCCAGACATTATGCAGAGACCTTTGGAACATTCAGCACTAAAAGGGTTATTTCCATCAAATTCCTCTCCTCAGAGCTCAGGGAGCCCCATGAAAGAGAAGACAGAAAGAGTATAAGAGCCAGAAGAGATGGAGGACATCAAAGAAAAAAGGGCCTCTAAACCAACATGAGCAAAGCTCATATAAGCTCACAGGGACTAAAGCAGCATACACATGGCCTGCATGGGTCTGTACAAGATCATCTGTATATTTATATCTACATAGATAGACAGATAGATAGATAGATAGATAGATAGATAGATAGACAGACATAATGACTTCCAATTTAGTGTTTTTATGGGATTTCCTGAGTGTGTGATTGAGTGGGTCACTAATTTTTTTACCTTCTCATAGGCTCTTTTTCTTCTCCTGGTCTGTCCTATCAAACTTGGATATCATAGTTTTTATTTAATCTTATTATATTTTATTTTGTTGTATTAAAATGAATGAATGAATGAATGACTCAATGAATAAAAACCTAGCCACCAGGGTAAAGGTTGTCAATTGAACTGTCAAGGTTACACCTGTTGGGAATGGGAAAATTAGTGTTCTCCAATAGAGTGACAACTACTCTAGGACAAGCCCCATATTCTGGAATGGTTAACCAATACATAACAGATTCCACAGGACTCTCTCTCTCTCTCTGTGTATATGTGTGTTATGTAGTTGGCATTTGGTAGTTTTTGTTCTTTTGTTTTGTTGTTTTCTATTTATGTTATTTTTCTGGTTTAGGGGAAGTTTGTTGTTGTTTTGGGTTTTTGCTTTTTTTTTCTGAGACAGAACTTAAAGTTGGGTGGATAGGAAGGAAAAGAGGGTCTAGAAGGACCTGGGGGAGGGGAATAACATTACCTAAGTGTATTTAAATTCACACAGTCTAACCACCACATACTTTTTTTTCCAGGAACATGACTGTGAGTAAAAAATGAGCAATATGTGTATCTTCAAGGTTAAAAATGATGCCCTGAAACATTGCTTAGAAGTAAGGGAGCCCTCACTTGGAAAAAGAAGGCAGGGTTCCTAAAGACTCTGTATCACCCAGCTCTCAGAGCAAAATTGGATGGAGTGCTCCACCATCGTGTGGAGTGCTCTGTCATGTAAGAATCTACCCTGAAAGAAAAGGACCTTGCTCGTGTTAGCTTGATGATTTGGGCAGGAGCTACAGCTTTGTTCTAGAGTTTGCTTTCATTGGTAAAAAAGAGAAAACCCAGACAAGTCTTGCCAAGTGCCAGCTCTCTGCAAACAGCTGGATCAAAAAGCAATGAAGGAGAAAGGAAGCCTGGGCAGCATGCCCAAGGGTCGTGAGTAACCTTTCTATGCCACTAGTAGAGTTCCTCACCCTGACAAACTACTCACCCAGCTTGGCAATCTGAATACAATTGCTTAAGATAAACACCCAGAGAAGAATCTTAGTGGAAGAAACTAGGTTGTGCCTTTTTTAAAAATAAAAAAAATGAAATTAGCTACTAATTGCTTCCTTTAAGACTGCTATAGAAAAGGGCATTGATTTTAATATATTTGAAAATAATCGCTATGAACTTGAAGATTCAACCATTGGGGCAACAGATTAAAATATAATTAAACAATAGCATTTGAGGAGGCCATTAGCATAATTTTTAAAGGTCACATGGCTGATCTGTGACAATGAGAATTTGAAAATATGTAGGTGAGATGACTGATGTCACTTAAAATAGGAACAAGCTAAGCTTGTGTAATCATATATGAGAGGCTGTAATGTCACCATATATTCTTAGTACTGAAAAAAGACCCTTTGCATGAGTGCTTAGACACTGTTCCTGCAGAGACAATTTGCAATAACTTAGAGTATCAGGTACCTATGAAGAATATAAATTTAAAAACATGAATATAAAATGCACATTTTGTTCCTTCTGTTTTGAAGATGGGTTCTTACTATGTAGCTATAAGCCTGGCTAGTATCAAACTCAGGACTCACCTGCCTCCCTAGTGCCCTAGCGCTGGAATCAAAGCCATGAACTATCTCATGTGGCAATAATACATGTTTTCACTCATTTTAGTTTTACAATTCTTATAGAATGGGTAAGGATAGAGTCTGGCTTGTGACTTTGGTTGGATAACTTCTTATATCATTTCCCCCTTCATTTTGTCAGAGAATCCGTGTGATACTTCTATATTTGATATATAAAACATGCCCCCAGTTTGCTTTAGAGCAGCTAGATAGATCCAAATGAATCCTTTCTGAGGTATGTCTGGTTTACTTCTGTAAAGAAGATGGAAGTATATCACACTAGTACACAGATCCATTCTGTCTAATACGTTCACTGACTACTTGCCCTGTGTGGCTAACTAACATGATGAATGCAAATAATTAGCTTCTCTAAGACCTGTCCATACTGTCCTATAGAATGCACATGTGGAGAATTTGTTCTGGGAGTTCTAGAGACCAATACCAACACTGTACACCAACTCTTCTCCTGATAACAAGAGTGGAAACAGAAGGTCAGGCAAGTCCAAAGAACCTAACACATTTGGTGGCCTATCTAGTTTGTCCCTCTCTCGCATTTTGGGAATTGAGGGGTCAGGTTTTTTCCCAGCAATGAGGAGTCTCCTTGCTTTCATTTTTATGACTGTCATGAACCTCTACTTCAACTCTGCCCTTCTTGATTTTGTTTCAGAAGCCCAGTAACCTTCCCAAGAACTAACTTTTGAGCACCAACACTGAAGAGGCCACATTTGTCAACTAAGAGAATCTCCCAGGACAACATAGAGTGCCTGCATTAGATAACAAATGAAGAGCACTGACCAAGAGACAGAAGGAGACGACCCAAAAGGCCTGGGAGTGACTTTAGTTATCCAGTCTATGCTGGACATCAGGTAGGGAGACTCCCAGGCCTTCCTTCCAATCTCATGTTTCCTCTCATGCCACTGTCTCTCTGTGGCCATATTTACATATATGTGTATTTATATACATATATACAATTTAACCAGAACATTTTTGCATTGCTGTCTTCCAATGAAACTTTGGACTTGCAAGCCTTGCAAACTAGCTATAAGCTGGTCCTATTTCCCACAGTGAACCTTCTCTATGCAAAGGAACAGATCAACACACCTGCTACACAATGGGGGACTTTTGGGTGGCTGGCACATTTAAAATACTTTACCATTAATTTGCAGCGCTATGATAAATGTAGGAGATGGCCTCATCGCCTTTCCTCCCACAACCTTCCCCACCTACCAACGCCCATGTACCATCATGAAAGTCATGGCAGGTTTAATGAAGAATGGCTAGTACATGTCTGGGATGTGGGATTGCTATGAATGGGAGCAAATGGAGGGATTTAGATACTAAGGCAATGAAGAAACAGACATGCTTATGAAACTCCACTACACCCTATGGGAAGGACACCCTCAAGGAGTTTAATGAGGGGTAGAGACTTACATGGTAAGGAGATGAGTGGACTCATATATACGTATCACAAAACAAAAAGAGCCATAACTGTGGGCTTACTTGCGGAAGTATATACAAGTGAACTGGGGCCACTGTACATGGAAGATCCCTCCTGGTTGGCCTGGCACAACAGCACCGTGCCTACAAGAGAGAGAAAGAAAGAGAGAAAGAGATGGCATCTGGTTTGGGGACAGCACACTACATCTGAGAACATGGTAACATAAACAAGAAAGGCAGAGAAATGAAAACACAGCCGCATCTCAGCGCATAGGAAGCCAAAGAGACCAGAGAAAACCCACCCACCTGCATACCCCACCGAATGCATGCCATGCCATTTCACATGAGGGTACACTAAATAAAGGGTATGGTTAATGCTGTACAGCCCACTTTTATATCAGCGATAGAAGTACTATGGCATTCTCAAAAGGGGTCTTAAGAAATAGCAGCAAACCCATCACCCATGCTCCAGTAAGCATCCCCAAGTAAATGCATTTGATCTCTCCCCAACCCTCCCCAAAGAAAGTAAAAGAGAGATTTTGGAAGGGAATTAATATGAGCAGGAGGAGAAAAGAGAAGATAATGGAGGAATTGATGAGATAAATATATACATGAAATGTCATAATGGAAGCCTTTATCATATATAATCAATATATTCTAATTTAAACCGACTTTTAAAATATCAATAAGAACCAGACAGTAAGCTGGACTGAAAAACCCCTTTGCTATGCAATCTTTATAAGTCATTGTGCCTCTCTGGAACTCACCATTCCTATCTGAGAAACTGGGATAAATATACCTACCTTCAAAACGTGTCCATAGCAAGGACTATCATGTAACAATTATTCCACAAATGGGAAGAACAGAAACTGATTTGTTTAGGTGCAACTTTTCCTATGCCTGCCCTAAAGTTTTATCTTGGTGGATGACTTTTTTATGGGGAGAGTGGGAGGAAGGCAAGGCAGAAAAGAATGCCAGATACGTTGTCACTATGGCTCAACCTGGATACACGCCCAACCCTGTGGGAGAAGACTGCTGGCCTACTAGCTTTAGGTAGCACCCAGGAGCTCTGTCTCCTGTTGCAGAGTTTGCTTAACTGACCTGCAAGCAGCCAGGCACTGCAGGGAGGGCTTGCCTCGCCTGATTTAAAGGACAGGGCAGCTGGCTTATTGGTGTAAAATGGAAATTTACAGCGAGAAGGAATGGTGGAGTCCTGAGACATTTCCTACTTCTGTGCCATGCTTTGAACTACCCAACCACATCAAAGAGGACTGGCCTGAGGCCTCTTCTGAGTGTTAACTTGCCTCTGCTACTGCTTTTGAAGCCAAACTCAGAGACTGCAGAGAGTGAGCAGGCTCAATGCATATGGGGAAAGGGTTGAGGGGTGCTGGAAACCCTTCCCTGCCCTTTCTGTTGACATCCTGCTTGGGAAGTCAACCTTTCTTGCTTATTTTGATACTGCAGCTGAATGTCATCTTCCATGGAAAGAAGCCTATCTCAGGAACACACTGCAGGAACAAAGTCACCCTGGGGAAGGGGTCTAGCATCCTGCCCTACATTCCACCAACTCAACAGACATGTAGTTAAGAGTCATTTGGGTTCTAGAGACAATAAAGCTGGTTTTCCTGTCTGCCCTGTGCCCAACTCCTTCATATTCTAACATGAGACATGGTACATTGGATAGACTAACAGTTCTCCTTCAAACCAAGGCCCATCTTATCTGTGTGCTTCTCTAGAGTTTGAAAACAATTTCCAGGTTAAAATAAAGGTGTGTGTGTGTGTGTGTGTGTGTGTGTGTGTGTGTGTGTGTGTGTGTGTGTAAGCCAGCAATCAATATCAAGTATCTTGTATTGTTCTCCATTTGACTTTTTTGATGAGGTCTTTTATGGAACCTGAGGTAACTAATTTAGAAAGGCTGACCGGAAGACCACTGAGCTTTTGATGCCGGTGCTGGGAATCTAAACCAAGTCCTCCTCGTGCCTTTATGGCATGTATGTCACCAACTGAACTATTTCCCTGGCTCCCCCCTCAACAAAGATTTTATTTAAACTTCAAAACCATCTTCTCCTCTTCCAGTCACTGTCTATTAATGCTATTCCTATCACACAGAAAATTAGCTTGTACTTATGCTTGTACTTGGAGAAGAACCATCCATGCTTCATTTTCCTTTGTACTCAAAATAGTCATGGCATAAAAATGAACCCAACTGGCATAGCTTGCGAGTCAATACATTAAAAACTTGGGTGGACCCTTGTCATGATAAACTTCTGCTGAACTGAATTCAGCTTCTATTTTCTTCTTCACTAAGTTTATCATCATGCAAAAGATATGCCATGGTCTAACTTGCCTAACACGTCTGGCTGCAATTGGTGATTGGCAAGAGAATTAAGAGCAAGTAACTACCAGTGAGAATGGGTGAACTCTAAAAATCAGTCACTGGGAGGTGAACTACATACCAGGACAGGAAGCCGTCCCAGGAACAAGTCCTCTGTAAAGCCCTTGCCGTGGTGGGTATCTCATCTGTTTTTGCTCACTGCTAAAAGTCTTACAGATAAATATAGGTTACTATAGGATGCAGAGAAAGTTACAATTCTGAATCTCCAACATGAAGATCCTGGTTGATGGCTTTTGCTACTCTCTCCTCCTGTGTATCCCTGGTTAAAAATCCACCATTGCAACAAGACCTGGAGTTTCTTGGGGGAGGGTGTGCCAGGATTTCAAAAAAGGAAAATCATCTAATTTTAGCCAAAACACAGCTAAAGGCCATTTCAGTATCTGCTGTTGAAGCCCCTGGGTTAAGTTTCAATATCCTCAGTTCAGTGTGTAGAATTCCACTGGGACCCAACACAGATTCGGAATAGAAAGATAAACTCTGACAGGGCTTGCTTAATGAAGCTCTCTCATTCTTCTTGAGCTGTGGGTCCTGAGAAGCCAACCTGGAATCACTTCTTTGGATGTTCCCTTAGTAGTAAAACAGTACAAAACAAAATAGTCTTCATGCAATGATTTTAACCTTCTGTAAAACAAAATCTATGCTTGGTCATTAAGACCTGATTTTTATTTTACCTAAAAACATCCTCTAAATTAATTTGCAAAGTGCTTATCGTGAGTTATCTTCCCACTTTGTGACCTGTGTTTAAAGGAAAGCCTTGGATCCAATAAAAACAAAACCACAGAGAGGAATGGGGCAGCCTCCATGCATCTCGGGGAGAGGGCTGGTTAATGCATATTTGTTTTACAAAGTAGGTCAAGTAGCTAATAGGGTAAAACCAGCCCTATGAAGACTGTTTACAAAATCATTGGAAGCACTTCCCAACACAGCATATGCATAGCCTCTCAAGAGTTCCTTGAATGCTGTTTTCTGTTTCTTTCTAATCCCAACAGAGACCATGCAACTACTGTGAACCAGCATCTATAGCCACAGGGTGGTTATATCTGCTCTTACAAATCTCTTCCTTGACTTAAGCTCTTTGTATATGAAGAGCAACAATGGGTCTAAATTACACTCTTACCTAACAACTTTGTAGCCAGGACAGACATCACTAATAAGTTTTAATATCACCTATTCATTAGTATTATCCTGGAGTGTCCAGAATTATTCTGAATCCGGCTACTGGCAGTCGCTGCCACTTGATGTGAGTTGTTAGGGAAGGGAGTTCTCTATATCCTCTTTGCCCTAACCCTGATTTAAATCAGATGGAATTAGTCATTGTACCTCTGACAGGACTGAATATTTGTATTTGCATGTGGTACAGCTTTTTTTTTTTAAATTGTCTTTTCTTGTCTCCCTTCTGCATAGTTTAAAAGTGACCTCTTCCAGTCCCACTCATCAAGAGTGAATTAATTACTCCCTCTTCATGGTCTTATCATATTCATTTTCATTCCCTGGCGGACCCTTTCTCCTATTTATATATGGGGTTTCCCTGTAGAAATCCCTAAGCAGGGCCCGATCGCGCTTATCATTCTATCCCAGCATCAGTGAGATACCTGACCCTGGGCAGGAACTAATGAGTGGAGTTGAGTTAGAACACTTTTTTTTATGATCTATTTTTATTTTCCTTGCAAAAAATAGTACTTTTCCCAACTAGCCTCTCTGACAGGTGCCTTATATTTCCTGTGTGTGTGTGTGTGTGTGTGTGTGTGTGTGTGTGTGTGTGTGTGTGTGTGTGGTGGTACATGCATGTGAGTACATGGGTAAACCTGCTTGTTACTAAGCTGAACAACTTGATTTAGATTTCTAGGCCAGGCCAGGATATAGGGGTCTTTGTTTCCTTTTGACTAACATTGCATTGAGACAAGGCATCTCCTTGACCTGGAACTTGCCCCTTTTTACTAGGTAAGGTGGCTGAAGATGAGCTCTTGGGATCCATCTGCTCTAACCCCTAATTCTGGGGTTATAGACAAACCTCCACCATGCTAGTCAAGTCAGTCAAGAACAAGTTCTTTGCTGGGCTCCTCATGTATTTTCTCCTGTTCCTCAGCCTTGTAAGGTAACATAGTATGTGAGAGGAAGGCCAAGGGACTGAGAGAGGGCAAGAAGTTACTTGCCTGAGCTACTCTCTTCCTGGGATCATTTGGGGGAAAGATGGGGCTTTAAGAATCACTGTTCAGTGTAAGGGATTTGTAAGTGTCTACAATGTGCCAAGTGACTTGCTAGCTCTGGAGTGAGGCTATCTGTGGAACTCCTTGTATATTTCTTTTGTGAACACTTAGCATACTATCCTTTCTGAAATTCACAGGATCAGCGGCAAAGACAAACACAAAAAGGAAAAAAAAAGGAAAGGATTTTGAGCACAAACTTTTCGATCAAGTGTATTACTCACTGGGATTAATAAGATTAATAAGCTATTTCAGGACAATTTTTATTAATGGTAATTATGGCTGGAAAGAATGTAGCTTTTTTTTTTCTTTCTGTGGCCTGCAGCAGGCAAGACTGAGAAAGCTTAGTAAGTCATCAATGCCAGAAATTCTTTGAATTTTTCTGGGTAGGGAAGTAAGAGAGTTGGGAAAGGGGAAAACATCATCAAAATCTATTGTAGGAAAAAATTAAATAAAAAAGGTTAAAAATGTGTGTGTGTTCACATCTGTGCAGGTGTGTGTTGAGGCCAGAGGAAAGACATGAAACACTGGGAGTGGTTTCTCAG